CAATTTTTTCAGCTTGGTTGTTAACGACTGCTATATATGTTCCTGATGTACATGTATGTTGGATCAATGTGGAAAATAACTCAAAAGGCATATTCACAAAATATATCTCGTTATATATTTGAAAAATATTACAGTGACTTTTTTAAATGTGTTTAAAATGTTGAATTGTAAGACGTAAGATCTATATAGGGAATAAGTTACATCATTCTATCATACTTAAAGAAATGAAGCGTGTCAAAATTAATGACTTTCTGAATAGTTACCCTAACACCCAAAAAAAATATTTACTGAAGATCACTTAATTTTCACGACACCTTATTTTCGCGAAATAGTCATTGACTCTTTATTAGCGAGACAAAATTTTCACGAATTGTGGTCATTGCTTTATATAATCATAAGGAAGTCTATTATACGCGAGAATGAAATTTTTGCAAGCATACCGCCTCGCGTAATTACGCGGAAATAAAGTTCTTGCGAATAAAAAGTGTTTTACAGTATTGTATTGGAAAGGATTCGGAAATCATTAGTTTTACATGTTTAACTTGCTGGGAATCATATCTTTACATAATATAGCAATGACATACATAAATTGGAGCGTGTTAAGCCGCCAAAACCTGATTTTATGCTTTCCCGAAGTTTTATTCAGATGGATGAAACACGTTGCTTTTTTGGTCCCTTCTTTGTTAATTAACGCTAATTAGTCATCGGATTCTGAATTATCAGTGGCTTGTATATCACCTGTAGATCTATACCACATGTAGCTCCTACATTCTGACCTATAAATCCTTATCAATTCCTCTAGGTAAAGATCTTATTAAGTATTGTAATATAAACTTATTAAGGAAAACTTAAAATCTAGTATAATGACCATCCCGAAATATGCCTTTATAGCGATATGTTTGTCTTTTGTGTGGTTATGATTAACAGAGTCAAATGGCGAAGAATCTTCCTCAGATGACATTCGATTTCTACGACAGGAACTATCGTCACTACGACAGAAAGTCGAGCAGCTCCGAAGGGAAGTAAGACAGAACCCCAAAACCGGAAGTCTGCAGAGCGACAGCGCATCCAGGAGATATGAAACTGATCTAAATAGATTACAAGTTTAGCTTTTAAAAAAAGCTTAGAGAGTCAGCCACTGGATTTTTCTTATCTGTGATAATGTTTTGAAGAATACATGTACTACGGTACTGAAAAAAAAATGCATTATACCGGTATTGCATGTTTTGTCTCTTAACAATATGCTTAATCAAAAGACGGATATAGTGTAATAAAAATTTAAGTTCAATTTCACAAAACATAATTCCATGAAATTATAAACCAATCTCATTGGATCTAAAGGAGTTTAATTTATGAGGATAGGGGACATAGCAGTTTTAACAATCCCGCGGCCACCAAACGGAACCTCGTAAGCTTTACTATCACCCTGTTAGAGTTTGTCATGTTGCAGGTTGAATCACTCAGTGCTACTGTGTTTAGACAACAAAGACTTCCTTGCCGCTGCGATAAAGTAACAGCCATACTGAACCCTTAATTAAGAATATCAATAAAGGGCCACTTAAATACATGTAACAAGTATGTACATTTTCTAGTACTTACAGGTAACATGTAAGCTTTGTTAAGCCTAATCTTTGCATAATTTAAGACATGGGTATTTTTTATTTAAGTTTGTTAACTATCACTACTTTAAATTGACCTAGCTAGCTGAATTTAAACTTGAAACTTAAAAAAAGTAGAATTGAAACAAAATAAACAACACGATGACTGGTAAACAAATTCATTTATCAAACCTCTATAAAGCAAGAAAACTATAAATCCATTAATCTGATTGCCACAAAATAAATGGTTTCATTCACTAAACAAACTAATTCAGAGACTCTCCCACTTAGGGAAAAAAAAACATGGATTGTGCAGATCTAAAAAAAAAGGGGGGGGGGGTTGGTCACAGGGCCATATGGTGGATCAAGTTATGGTATAAAATTTGATTGTAAAACACAAAAATGTTTCTTTTGATATTGACTGGAAATGAAAGTTTTACACACATTCACACAGAGATGTGAATTTATTACCTTGACCTTTGAACGTCAAAATAAATCTATAGGTGTCTTCCTTTCAGCATAGGTTGTTGTGCTAGAAAATTTCATTTCTAAACCTCAAGGGCTTATCGAGATATTGCACGAACACAAAGGTAATCAAACAGACATAATTTTGATTTCATTACCTTGACCATTGACATTTTTACCTCAAAATCAAGATCGAGGGGTTTTCCATAGTAAGTTGTGTAAAATTTCACAACAAAAGTTCAAGGGCTTCTCGAAATATTTCAAGAATTGAAAGTGTTACAGACAGAACTACAGACAGGGGCACGGAAGGACAGGCAGACCGAAATAAAATAATATCTTCCACTTCCAGCAAAGGACATTATAAACGAGCAAGCTCAGCCAGTTGTGTCTCTTCTCGAAGTATCTGTTGTATGCGCTAACAAGTCAGTTCACTAAATTGCATGGGGATCGAAATGATGTAATGAAAACGAAAGTAAAACTAATAAAACTGAATAACTTCAAAATCTCTATTAAACCAATGTTCATGCCGTAGATTTAAATACATTAATAAAATAACTTCAACATACTTTACAAAAGACCTTCAATAAACGCGTCAAACACTGTGCGATGTGAATTCATACAACTGTATGCTTAACTGCGTAGAACACATTTCACGATCAGATGCGAACCAGTTTAATTACTGCGAACGAGGTTTTAAAAACTGTGAAGTAGGATTGTACACAAAAGGTTCTAGAAATAAATAAGCATAAATGACTTTCTTATTTCAGTTGAATTTAAATTTACAGATTACCGTGGTGTTAAATAGGGATTTCTTTGTTTAATATATACTGATTTTACTGAAATGAAATTAGCTAGAGTGATTTGCTGCAGAACTACCTCCCAGAATTCCAAAACGCGCAAGCGCATTTGAAGTTCTTCGTACCATAACTAGTCAGCCCGCGGGCTGACTAATTACTTACTCAAGAAAGAAATCGACGATTATTGCTAAACTTGCAAAAGGTCACCACAGGTAAATAGTCGATGGGCCATTTATTTTTCTGGATAGAGTTAAGTCAGACTGAATTGTTAAATGTAGCCGCACAATCGGCAATTCTCGGCTGACTCCGCTATGCTCTATTCAAACCTCGGATATGACAGGTGGAATGATACGCATCAAGTCGACACATTTCCCGCCGGAAACTGCATTGTCACTATTCATATTTCCCTCCGCCTAAAGTTCTTCGAAATAGGTTTCTTGATTTGTGTAATTCCTCATGTTAATCACAACCATATGTTACTGAGTAGTTTTTGATAGAAGAACACAGTGTTGGGCGTGCAACAAAGTAACTCAGATTTCAAAAGTATAACATTTGAATGAAATTCAAATAAGATCACATGACTGAATCAGCAAGATGGAAGATCACCGTTGACATTCGAGGTTATGTGCTAGGTACGAGCCATCCGAGGAACTCCGAGTGTTAGCCGCGAGGCTCAAAACAAAGTCCGCCGGTGTACGTCGATCACCGTCCAAATTATGAGAATAAAGTTAGATTGTGCAAATATATGCATATATATAATGTATTTTATCAGTAACGATGTATTGCAAAGAGTTATTAAAACTCTGAACAATAAGGTTTAGTTGAAGTTCAAGAGGAGTAGCATTATGGAAACTTTCCAAACTTTCATAACCAGATTAAAAAAAAGTTACTTGCTGATACATGTAAATGACTATAGTTTAAGCGGACACGTATAAATGGGGATTTAAAATATAATTTTGATCTATTATTTAATATATCTTTAACAGTTCTTTTGCAGAAATAGCTTTCTATGCAAACAGACCCATAGATTATCAGAACATCTCGGTCCATCAAACTCTCGCCTTCGGAAACGTCATCTCGAACGTTGGTAACTGCTACCATGGTACATCCGGGATCTTTACTCCCAGCGTATCGGGCGTGTACGTTTTCCACGTACAACTAATCATGTGTACCGCTGGTCACGAGGTCCGGACGGAACTGGTCGTGGAGGGGGTTAATAAGGGGGGGTCACTATGCCGGGGGATCTACGACGTGCGCTAACGGCGGGGGGTCGACCATCGTCCACGTGAACGCCGGGAATGCCGTGTGGGTTAGGGAGGCTACAACGAGCGGGAGAAACCTGTTTGGGTGGGAGACCAGCTTCTCTGGGTTTTTACTGTAAAAAGATTGATAAAAAGAATAATAGTTTTAAAAATCAATTTTTATTGAGTTATTTTTGAATGCTGTTACTAACTTGGTGGTGAAATATGTTAAAGTTGATGTATAGTCAAAAAAGTTACACTGTTCTAATAAATGAACTCTGTTTACCAAGTACAAACGGATTTCTATGATAAGAAAGTGTTTATCTATTAGTATATAAAAATAGTGTTAAGCTACTACTAATTTGCTGCACTGTGCACTCCTCAAAAGAATTTTTCAAGTTCATAGATATAACTATTTTGAATAAATCGTTCATTAAAGAAGAAGAAAAATGCACTGAAAAGAAACCAACTTTGAAATCATTTGGGTATATTTTTCAGCCCAAAGACTTCTCTTTAATAAATGGAGTTAGAAATTTCAACTCAGTCGCAAGTATGTGGGACGTAGACACTTGTCCTGCGGATGAGACCCTATAAATCGAGGTCCCGTGTCGTAGTAGGTACTGACACGAAAAAGATCTTTTCCTGCTCAATGCAATGGTCCTGAGTGCCGAGTATAGGACAACATTTGCAGCTCTCCATCGTCAAGTGGTTGACTCTCGTTACATGTATAAGTGAAAAATTCTCGAGAGAGACGTTAAACAACATACAGACAAAATAAGTTTTCTTGGTGAGAATTCTATAAACTCTTGTTAAAAAAAGACTAATCTGATAGTACTCGGTGAAATAAATACAGGTCGCAAGTATCCTTATCTATTCTTATCAAGAAAGTTCTGTGATTACACTGTGAATGAGGATTTCCTAATTGTTGTTTAAATCAAACCAGTTATGGCGATCACAAAATTCGTGATTATTTTCGCTTTCATTGGCTGCATTACATCGGAGGACCTGGAAAACCATGGTATATTAAATGAAGCATGTTCAGACGACATCCAGGCACTGAGAATGGAGTTAACGGCATTGAGAGAGGAGGTCCTTCACCAGAAAGAGGAAATTAAAGAACTCAAAGAGGAAGTGGCGCGAAAACCGGACAAATGTGAGCAAATTCAATCCTATCCTACTGCAGATGAGACCGTGGAGTCTTTTCAAACTCAGAATGAAACTCCTCACACAGAAGAAGGTTCCAACAGCTCCCATTTGAAACAAGACAGACGAATAAGAAGACAGGAACTGACACACCCAACATCAGGCCGTGTACAACAAACAGGTAGCTAGACAGACAGTAATTCCTACAGTCGTGTTCTTACTTTAATTCTCAAGTAAAAATCAGTAAACGACAAATTATGAGCCCACAATTGCTTTTTAATGTAGTCTGGATACAAATAAATAAGGCATTGATGGTTGTATGATGATGTTCATTAGCGAACTTTTGTCGCAGAATGATGAACAAATGCAAAGATTACAGGTTATAGCTTATAGTTTTCCATTCCTAGTCTGTAAAGCATCATTTCCCAGCGAACTATTTGGCAAAGTATCCCACAAAAGATCTGCCCAGTTAATGATTTTCTGCTCAGATTCACAGTTGGCTGTATGTCTAGAAATTGCATGCCTTGGGCATATTTTTGTTATTAAGTAGACTTGCATGGTAATCAATAAATTACCCATACAAATTTATCTCAAATATCAAATGCCATTTTTATAGTGAAGAACTTTTATTTGGTAAAGTTTTTAAACATATTCTATCTCGATATTCATATTCTATCTTGGTATTTAATATATTTTCTCTCATCTCATACGTGTAAGCTTCTCTTCCAGTTAGTTTGAATATTTTGATTATGGCCATCCATGAATATAATATTGTTTAATGAATACACTGTACTGTCTCTATCATTTCACAGCAATGGTACCGAGAATAGCTTTTCACGCCAATTCTCCAAAGGACCACTCCAACCTTGCTGTTCATCAGAACCTGATCTTTGACAACGCCATTACCAACTTTGGAAATAAATACCATCACGCCACAGGGGTCTTCACTCCTGATGTTTCTGGCGTCTATGTGTTCTACGTGCAACTAGTTATGTGTGCTACTGGGCATAGTGTCAACACTGAACTAGTGGTAGAAGGTGTGGGGCGGGCTGGACACTTCGTATATAGCAAAGAAGTTTGCGCCAATGGAGGAGGAATGACCATCGTCCATGTTAATACTGGGGACTCCGTCTGGGTTCGACTCTCAGTATCAGATGGGGTTAACGCTTTTGGTTGGGAAAGCAGCTTTTCTGGATTTTTACTGTATGAGGATCAATAGTAATAAATCTAACCGATCCATACTTTGAATATTGTTATATTATGTCACAGCAACGGGAGATCGATGGGCATGTAGTTTTGGTGTTCTCTGTATATCTGTCTTTTCGTATATCCGCATGAAAGTACAATGAATTTTCAAAACAAAATTGAAAAATTGGTGTTAAGGCTTTATTTTTTTACTGGCGGGTTTTCTGTAAAACGGTAACAATATTTTAAACCTTATTATTGGAGATTACCCCTCCTTAAGCCTAAACTTAAGTTCTTAATAATTATGGCTTACGTCCTCATAACACATCCATATGCTTATTTCTTAGTACAAAATCTCATATAAAACATAATTCCTTGTTGGTTTTACAAACTTTTTAAGATTTTAGCCTTGGTCAAATTATGATCAAGAAAACCGAGAATAGTAATGTAATAAATAGTAAATCCAAACCATTAGTTTTGTCACTCCATGCTCAGAGATGTTTTAAGAGTTTGACAAATTGAACATTCCCTGTGAAAAGTAATCAATACTTATAACAGAGATCGTGCCTTGTTTGAAAGCAGTTTTGTTTTTTTTTCTATTTTTGTACACTAAGGATAAAGTTTACTTGTTAAAAAGTGCACGAATGTGTCAATTAAATGCGTCCTGAAATTTGTAGTTTCATGCTTCCCCTTGCTTGTCGTAAAAGGCGACTAAATGGGGCGGTCCTTCGGATGAGACCGTATAAACCGAGGCCCCGTGTCACAGCAGGTGTGGCACGATAAAGATCCCTCCCTGCTCAAAGGCCGTAAGTGCCGAGCATAGGCCTAAATTTGCAGCCCTTCACCGGCAATGGTGACGTCTCCATATCAGTGAAATATTCTGGAGAGGGATGTTAAACAGTACACAATCAATCAATCCAGATAAAATAAGTTTCCTATGATATTCTCGTCTGAAATGTTACAGCTACATTTTAATCATGGTATACATGGTATTATAGAGAAAATTTGAGAAAATATTATCATTTAATATCTGTCTATGTCGCTTTAAGAAGATGGGAGAACACTTTGTGTCTGAAAAATCATTTAAGTAAGTCACATACCGCTGTTAGAATATAATATCTCCTCATGAAATATCTCTTCTAATTTGGTCATATTTGGCAATAGAAAAACATGCTATTACAGTTATCTCTTAATGATTTGAACCTGATCACTCAATATAATTGTTCTCACTGTGTATATACATATTCATACTAAAAAGGTTTAAACTATCTCAAAAGGCATACAGTTTTGTAGTGCAAGTTGAAAAGAAAACGTTAAATGATAATTTTTGTAGACAACATAAACGCAAGTCAACGAATACAGGTCGCAATATCTCTTATCACTCCTTATCAATATACTTCTGTGTTCATACTGTGTGCATGAGATTTACCAAACTATTGTTTCAATCAAATCAGATATGAGACTGTTTTTGGTCTTGATTCTGCTTTTTCTTATTTCCTGCATCCAATCTAAGGACCCAGAAAGCTCTGCAGGAATATCCAGCGAACCTTGGTCTGATGAAATCCGGGTGTTGCGAATGGAGCTAATGGAAATGCAAAAAGAAATGTCAGAGCAGAAAGAGAAAATCAAGCAACTCGAAGACGATTTAAAGAAAAAAACAGAAAAGTGCGAATGTCCCCAAACCAACTTAAGAGAAATTGAGTCAAAAGAAATTGTCCAAACTCAGAGAAAGGACCCGAGGACAAGCGAAGGTTCCACCAGAGACCTTCCGAAAGACGACAAATCTGTGATAAGACGATTACTGATACCTCCAACTCCAAGTCCGTCATCTTCACCCAGTAAGTTTAATTTATATTACTGGAAAGTAAAGTATTATTATAGTATTTTATTAACTGAGTCTATAGTAGTTTAATATCAACTTGAGTTATTTTATAAGACTAATATTTAAATACGTAATTCCAAAATCACGTGAAATGTGGCCGGTTTTTCAGCAAATTGTCTATTTTTATAAAGTTATTACCTTTTCCGAAATCGCAAAACCAGCGTGGAATTTATGTAACTGTATCAACATTCAATATCCTTTTTTATTCTATCATTTACAAGATCCTCAATATATATTCAAATACTTTGTATCTTTTCGGTATTTATATTGATATAGCGTTGTAGAATTAATTGACAAAATGCAAAGACATTTTTTAGACTGATGAAATAAATTTTCTTGAAGGAAAACTGTTTTTGAAAACTATATCTTGCTTTTAAAATCAAATTTTAACAAATTTTTCTTCTTTAGATATTTCACACAGAATAGCATTCCATGCATATTCACCATCGGATTTCAAAAACCTAGCCCTTCATCAATCTTTGATATTTGGGCGCGTCATTTTAAACCAAGGAAACCAGTACCATCACACTACAGGAATCTTCACCCCCCACGTTTCTGGAGTGTATGTATTTTACGTACAATTAGTGGTAAGTTCAGATGGAGATGTCCACACGGAACTCGTCGTAGAAGGAGTAAGAAAAGGTGGACACTTCGTACAAAGCCACACTCCAGGAGGTTATTATAACGGTGGTGGAATGACTATCGTTCATGTTAATGCAGGGGACTCCGTCTGGGTCCGACTCGGAACGCAGCGTGGAACAAATTTCTTTGGGTGGGAAAGCAGCTTCTCTGGATTTTTATTGTATGAAGAGGAATAAAAATAGAAAGAATATGTTTTTGTGCCTTTTCTTTAATTTTATTTTCAATAAAGATAAATATCATATTAGAGTTCCAGAATGCCTGTAATGTTACTTAAAACATAAGCAGAAGTCAAACTGAAACTCGTTTTAAACACAGAAAACCTTGAATTACTTATTTTGAGGGTAAAAAAATTTGTGAATCCAAATATTTCAACTGCTGTTTTAATTTCGAAAATATAACATTTTGTGGAAGTTTACTCCAAGCCATAGGCCGAACATGCCAAAAAAGAGAGCCATACTTAAATTGTTATCTGGCACTGTTGCAGATGTTACAGCATAAATGTTGGGAAACGAGCCCCATTCGAATAGTATGCAGTCCCCGGTGTCTCACTAGAGCTAGTGATACCAACACCAAGGATTCATCTTATCTTAGTCTGTTAACAGTAATTTGTTGTGGGTTAAGAACGAATCGAAGAGAATTTTAAAATACACTTTATTACGTGAAGCCATACATCATCTGTGGCACTGAATCCTGGCTAAAAGGGATCAAGCCAGGTTAAGGCCCTATGAAAAATGCAATTAAAACAAAGGAATATTTCTGAGAGTCCTTATTGTACATCGAAATGATTGATCTTTCGTAGAAAGAATTTAAAAAGTTTTAAATGAATTTTGATAGATCTTTTATCAATTTTGTTGTGTTTGACTGTGTTTACATTTTAGTTAATTTATTTATTATCCATATTTCTTGTTAATTATTTCTAATTATTTAAGCAATTCTAAATATAAACTTCTTTATCTGAGTAGTTCGATTAGCAATGTTTGGCACCTTTGTGCTGACGTCATACTTGGTCATCCTTGTCAAGCAAAGTATTAATTTTAATGCAAAACAGCTCATTGCGTCTTTTAACTTGTAAATTCACGTAGGAAATCCTTATCATTTCTTATCAATAAACTTCGGTTTCTATTCCCTACATAACATTTTACACTGTATTCTTTATATAAATCCAAATATGGATCTTGTATGGATATGGATCTATATTCTTCTCTGAGAAGCTGACTGCATAAAATCGGAGGGTACAGAAAGCTCTAGAGGGATATCGAATGAACCTTGGACTGATGAAATGAGGACACTACGTTTTGAGTTAAAGAAATTGCAATTGGAATTTTTGCACCAGAAAGAGGAAATCAAACAACTCAAAGCGGAACTAGGGCAAAAACCGGAAAAGTGTGAATGTTGTCACGTCAACCCTACTGCAAACGAGTCGGAAGAGACGGTCCAGACTCAGAACGAGACTCCTCAAACAGCTAAAGGTTCCGGCACATCTCCGACGAAACGAGACAGGCTGAGAATAAGACGTAGTCCAAGATCTTCTGGTAATAGGTTCTTAACTCTGAGTTTGTTGCATGTCATAGGGAATTTTAAAAATAGTAATTTTAATGATTTCGGCATAATTCTTAATTTTCTTTTTGAAATATTCAGCAATTCATAAGATATAGTTCTACTGTACATGCTGCAAAAGCTTCCTAAAATCATGAACGAAGTGTTTCATATAATTCACACAATAGTACACTTCATACAGTTGCATGCTTAGTTGTCAGAATATCTATTGATGTTATTTGCTATTTAAAATTTATTCATTCGATGTTATATCAAAAATGAAGGGGATGGCATGAACGTGATTAGAGACATAGTTAACAGAAGCACATACTTGAAATGAAAAAAAAGTCAATTTCACGTATCACTAAGCTATATACCATTAATATCAGAAGGATGTAAGTTTTGCAGTTTCAGTTGGAAATCAAATTCTTGAAATACAGTTTCATCCAACATATTATCTATTTTATAAGTGCAGAATATTTTTTGATCATATTTAAAAATATCTGGATAAAAAGTGGTAAAAAAATCATTTCTAAATTTAAAATATATTCTAAGATAACCAATAATCGTTTAACAGCTATTCAACCTGATTTTCTCAGTCATCCAAATTTTTATTTCAAACCAGGGACACTATTTACAACTCAGTTCACTCTATAACAGTTGTAAATAATTTTGTAATATATTTATTTTTTTTTTACTCTTTAAGAATCTTTAAAAAACATTTTAAACATTTTTGAAATTAATATTGAATGGTCTAGATATTGAGCATAACAATCTCATGTTCAACATTGCATTCACACTGTAGGAAAATTTAATAGAATAAAGTGTTTGATCAATCTATCTTATTCCATTTAAAGGATAAGAATGCTTGAATGATTTCAATTGATCAGCAATTGCAAACTATTATAGATTGCAATTTCTATTACTGTAGTTTTGGGCAGATTGCTCTTACAGTTTTCTATGCAAACATTCACTCTTATAACAGACATCTAACTGTTCTTAAAAGTCTGATCTTTTAAACATGTTGACTTATATCTTAATTGATACGATTATTCTAACTAAGAAAGATTTTAGGCTTCTCAATCAATGATACATTTGTATCAAGGAATTGTTTACAATAATAAGAATAATAATAAGAAATTATTGTAAATAATTCCTAGTGAAGAAGAAGAAAAAACTGTTTCCGGGAAAAAATTAATATACTCAAGTAGATGTCCTTTTGTGCTGTAATATACATTCTGCTATTTTTCTCTTAATTTTACAGGCCTTTTAAACCGAATAGCCTTTCACGCAAACAATCCCACTGATAATATAAACCTTGCAGTTCACCAAACCTTGATCTTTGGAGACGTTATCTCAAACTTAGGAAACAAATATCACAAAACCACAGGAATCTTTACTCCAAACCTGTCTGGAATCTATGTTTTTTATGTACAGTTAGTTTTGTGTTCCCCAGAACATTACGTTCACACAGAAATTGTAGTAGAAGGTGTCCGTAAAGGTCGGCACATTGCATACAGCCCGAAAGGTTGCACTAATGGAGGAGGAATGACCATCGTCCATGTCAGTGCTGGAGACGCTGTATGGGTTCGACTGTCAACTTCAGATGGTGTGAACAACTTTGCTTGGGAGACCAGCTTTTCGGGATATTTATTGTATGAAGATTAACAAATAGCTGCTCAAAAAATTTGTGACATGCTTTGACCGGGATGTATGCTCTCATATGGTCCGTTTCATTGCTAATTATAACACTGAAGTATATATAAAAGTGGGGGATATTTAATCAAAATTATACAAAAATGATAAAATTGTGCACATATATAATGAGCATGATTTTATGCATAAAAATATATACAAAGCACACAAGTTAAATACTATTAGTATTATTTACAGTGTTAACAATTTAAGAAGATTAAGATCTAAAAAGTAATCCATAACCGTTTAACAACTGTTTAACCTATTTTTTTTAAATTATCCAAATTTTGATTTCAACCCAGTGATCAAATGCTAAAATGATATCTAATATTCTTTAGTTTTGCTTATGTTTTTCATATCATATTATACCAACCCCCCCCCCCCCCAAAAAAAAAAAAATCAAAAATTCATTTTTCCTGAATGTTTCATTCAAAAAATCCTATTATTGATGTTTTTAACTGTTTAATGAAGTGTATATACAACAGTATCTAAAAAAAATCCCATTTCGCCTTAGAACATTTAAGCCTTTTCTTACCTGTATTTCACAGTGAGGGCAAAATGGGAACACCCTAATGCACTGACACTTACTTTGGAAATTCTCAGTTAAGATCGCTCATTTAATTTCTTACTCATGTTCCGTTCACTATATAACAGCAGTATATGATCTTATAATAATATATTTTACTCTTTAAGAACCTTTTTAACATTCGTGCAAACCAATTTAGAAAAAAAATAATTTAATATTGATACAATGATTTAGATATTGAGTATATCAATCTCATTCTAAACACTGCATTTACACCCCAGGAATTAAAAAAAAAATTAATGAACATAAAACACAAATGTTCACTAATTTAGACAGTACATAAGACGGATTTTTAAAATTATTTCCCGATCATGACACGGAGTACAGGACGGGTGTGACTGGTCGGCAGAGAATGCTAACTCTTCCATGGCACCTGATCCCAGCTCTGATATTTTGATGGTCCGTGTTTGTTCTGCTCCTATTTTGTATTGTTTAATGAGCTTTTGAACTTTTGAGCTTGAATACTCTTCGTTATCTCCATATGCAATATAGTGTTAGATTAATCTATTTTGCTCCATGTAAATTATAAGAATGCTTGAAATAATAACAATTGATTAGCAATTGCAAACTTTTATGAATTTCATATTTTTACTGAAGCTTTGGGCAAAAATTGCTCTTACAGTCATGTGAACAGTCATTCAGATAACAAAAATCCTAGCTGTTCTTAAACGGACTTATATAGGCTATGCCTGCTGACCAATCCATTTTTCTATTTTTACAAAATAAAATATGTTCAAATCAAATTAGATCTTTAGGTTGATTAATCTTAATTGATACGGTTGTTTTAGCCAACAAAGACAATAGGCTGTTCAACCGAGGGTACACCTGTATCTTAACAAATCATTGTAAATTACAAAAAAATTCCTTGTGAAGAAAAACGTTTCAAGGAAAACTTATTATAGATGTCCTTTTGTGTTGAAAAGTTCATTTTACTATTTTTTTCTTTCAATTTTTCAGGCCTTTTAAACCGAATAGCCTTTCACGCAAACTATCCAACTGATCACAGCAACCTTGCTGTTCACCAGAACCTGATCTTTGGAAACGTTATCTCAAACGTAGGAAACAAATACCACAAATCCACAGGAATCTTTACCCCAGATGTGTCCGGAATCTATGTTTTTTATGTACAGTTAGTCATATGTTCCCCAGGACATGAAGTTCACACTGAAATAGTAGTAGAAGGTATCCGTAAAGGTGGGCACTATGCATACAACAGTGTATATTGGGCCAATGGAGGCGGAATGACCATCGTCCATGTCAATGCTGGAGACGCTGTATGGGTTCGACTGTCAACTTCAGATGGCGTGAACAACTTTGCTTGGGAGACCAGCTTCTCGGGATATCTATTGTATGAAGATT